TAATTATAGGCCTTTATGCAGTAATATGCTGTAGCAATTCAAATTATGATCCTGCTCTATATTGGATAACATGAAAGGATATTTCAGACATTTAATGGGAAAATCAGTGCTATATACATTTTTATTTTATTATTTTATTTATTTGTTTTTGGCACTGAAGATTGAAGCCAGGGGCACTTAACCACTGAGCCCCATCCCCAAATTTTTTATTTTTATACAGGATCTCACTAAGTTTTTTGAGGCTGGCTTTGAATTTGTGATCCTCCTGCCTCAGCTTCCCAAGCCATTGAAAATACAGGCATGTGCCGCTGCACCAGGACTGATATATTTTTTTTAATTCGTTATATTTTTATTCTGATAGGGTTTGAGGAACATTAAATGTCTTCTTTTCCTTTTTATTCATTTGTGGTTTCTAATATTTAGATTGATATATTGTTACTTGTACAATTTTTTATGTAGAAGAAAATTTTTTAAACTTTCAAATAAAGAGGAAAAAAATGAGTTTAGTGTTTTCTTTTCCTTGGATCATGAAGCTGAAACACCAATAAACTCTCATTTTCCAGTTGTTTGTTTTCCTGCAATTACTCATATCATCTTTCAACAACTCTATTAATTGCTTTCTATGAGAGAGGCCCAGGAGATGCCCACATTCCTAATTCCTTTGTCACTCATATAACAGCCTGAAGCATTTCAGTCACCTTTTATCACATTCTCTGTTCCCAAAATTATAAGGTATTTTTTCACTAATTTTATTTTGAGGTAACTACTTATAAGATCACAGATATTTATTTAAGTATCTTCAATGAGTTCTCTCACATATGCTAAAATTAGCATTCTTTAGCCTTTTAATAGATTTTCTAATTCTGTTATAAGTTTCTTTAGAGTATGATGAAGAAATAGTTGCTTTTTTATATGTTAATTGCTGTCTAGAAGAGAAGCTGACACAGAGCTAGTACTTAATAAATATTTATTGAATAAATTAAATCAGGGATCAATTTTTGAGAGTGCTAAACTCTTTCTAGGGAAGACCTTCTTATCATTCCTGAAGATGCATCAAAAGATGATTCTTAAGTTTATTTAAGAATTTTCTACCACTACTCAAAAGTCTCAAAGAAATTAAAAGTACAAAAGAAAAATATTGGTCTGTTTGCTGGCGTGTAATTCTGGACTCTGTCCTGAAGATGGCAGGATCCCCCACTGTCAGCAGGTGAGATTCCTTGGCTGGTATCCAGGAAAAACAAAATTCTTTTGTTTGTCTTCTTAGGTCTACCATAGCCATGCAAGCAGCTGCCTTGGGTTCTTCCGTTGGAACAGCAATTGTTGGAGGTATTCTTACAGGTGAGTAAAAAAGTCAGTACTTCCCTGTACCCTATGGTCTCTGGATAATAGCTGGTTAATAAGCAAGTCAAATGGTAAATTCAGAGTATTCTACGCTTCTGGCTGTAAAATAATTATGTCAGTTTAAGGAGGTGATTTTGTAACAGTGTTTTAATTACTATTTCCTCTTCAGCCTCACAATATGATTTATTTTCCCTTTACCTTCACAGGTTTAATTCTAAAGATACCTTTCTGGGAACAGCCATCTGACCAGAATTGCTATGATGATTCTGTTTATTGGGAGGTACTGTACAGAATCCTAAACAATGTAGTTGGGAAATGTGGTACACAACCTTAATTCCAGCAACTCAGGAGGCTGAGGCAGGAGCATTGCAAATTCAAGACCAGCCTCAGCAATTTAGCAAGACCATCAGCAACTTAGTGAAACCATGTCTCAAAATTTAAAAAAAAAAAAATAATACAATAAAAAAGACTGGGGATATAACTTAGTGGTTAGTGCCCCTGGGTTCAATCCCCAGTATCAAAAAATAAAAATTAAAAGAAAAAGAATGTAAATGATAGCTCTACTAGTAAAAAGTTTTGCTCATCTTAAGCATACATGCCTGTGTGGCATCCATAAGATGAAAATGGATGATATCCCTGTTTAGACAAAAATAGAGACTGTACATCCAACCAGATAAAATCAGAATTTATGAGTTTTTTCCAAAGCAGAAACTTATGCAGAAAAGACAAAATTTAGTTGACAAGTGTCTTGTCACTCCTCTGATAACAATTAAAAAGAGCTACTTATAAAAAGAAATAAGTCCTGAGCAAGAGTGTGAGACATTATTCCAAAGGTAAAAGTAGGCAGAAGCAAATGGAATGTGTAAAGTTGAAGACCTTGAGTGAGTACACATCAACAGGTTTTATAATAACAAAATCAGCTTCTTCCTATTCTCCACTTTCTGCCTATTTACTCCATTGACATTTTGTTCTACTGTTTCTTATAAAACTCAAGTGAGATAGATGTTTGCGTTTTTCAGCAGGACTTCCAGGGAGAAGAGGCTTGGGAAAGGAGGAAGTGTAATCAAAGTGGATGAGATAAATAGTTTTGTTCTTAAATTTTTTCCTCAACTCCAACTTATTCCCAGATCTTTCTAACTTCAGATAATAATTAAGAAAATACCATTGTTTCAATATTCAACGTCTGTCAGACCCAGTGAAAGAATCTTGTTTTCTTTAAAGGTCCCTCCAGAGAAAGAATATGACAGACACTTCCAACTCCACAACCTGCTGGAACCTGAAGCCTAATACCATTGCTGTGCTCCAGCTTTCTTTTCTATCACATACAGTCAAGGTTAAATAAAGAAAAAGGCAGCATGTGAAGAGAATATGGACCAGAGTGGATCGATGCTAATCCCCAAATAGCCAATGTAAAAATGTCTGTATATCTGATGCTGTCTCTTGATTTTAGAATGCTTGCTTAATTGAAGGGATATGGCTCATAAAACAGATGGTCAATGCTTTCTATCCAGAACTTAGAATGCTTTTGCCAGTAAGTAGGTTCAGAATGACAATTGATGTATGTTCTTGAATTTTTCCCAAAGAAGTAGGTTACATAGAAATCAACACTTCTTAGTTATGTCAGACTTTTAATGTAAATACAATTGATATAATTCCTTCAATCCTTATGATTATAAAAGGGAAGCCAATGAAACAACAATAAGTACAAGGAATCTACATTAGAAAAATGAAAGAAGTGCTTGTAAATATGCAGTGATATTATTGTTTTGGGTAGTGTTTGTTATTTTAATAGATCACATTAGTAATATTATATCTTGAATATTTTTAATTCCTTTAGCAAATTTAGTATTTTCAGAAAGAGTTCAAATGCTATATTATCACCATCCATTTTGTATAAAATTTCAAAGAATTAAAAAAAAATTATAAAATAAAGCATTAGTCTTTAAATCTCCTTTTTTTGTTGGTTAAAAATTCATTTTAGTAACATGCACGAACACACACACTCACCCCCTCATATTTCATCCATACTTAATTAAATGTATTGCTAATGTATTTAAAAACCAAGTAATTGTCTTATAGGATAAGTTTTTAAAAAATCAGTTTTAGGGCTTGGGATATGGTTCAGTGATACAGCACATGCCCAGTGTATGTGAGGCAGGGATTTGATTCCCAGCAATCTAAAACAAAAAAGAAAAGAAGGAATGAAGAAAGAAAACTTTCAGGAAAATCACATTACTTTTTTTTTTTTTCTGTCTGGAAAGTTTTAAGATTTATCTTGTATCCCTGAAGTCCTGAAATTTTGCCAGAATGTGTATCAATGAGGAATTGGGCGCCACCATAATTAACAGAACTTTAGTTTCTGACTGCTAGGACTTTAAAATTACAGCTAGGAATAGATTGCTTAATATTTTATTTCAGGGAAAATATAAAATTTACTTATATTGCACTGGCTATTCAGGTGACTTCTTTCACCCAAGACCTCCTTCTAACAACTCTTCTAAGTGTGCTGTCTTACAAGTAAGTCCACTATTCCCTCCCTTGCTAATAATCGCAAGGCTTTTGAGACTGCCTGAGTCCCTGCTGATCACAAGACAGATCTCAGAGGGTCTTGGCTATACTTGGGTCTAGGAAAAAAAAAAAAACTATTATTTTTATTTGCTCAAGAACTATGTCATGAAGGCCATCACGTTCTGGGTTGTGAACACTCAGATCTGCCTCCCTGCAATGCAGTTTTTACCAACAACAAAGCCTTATTTTTTAAATTTGGAGTTAACATCCTTTTTTCACAGTAGTATATCACCTCTTTCTTGCCTGGGATTTACTGAATCACTTTAATCTGAAGAGCTGAATCTTTTGCTTAGATAAATTATCTTACTACTTAATAAAATTCCTCTCCTCTATTCATTTTTGTTCTGCTAGCACTATATCAATCTCATGGAAAGTCTGTTGGATCTGTTATCCAAATCTTTCTCACTTTATTTCATTAGTTCACTTCATTTTCTGCTTTAATTCATTTTTGCTTGTTTGCATGTTTGAAAATTGTTGTCCATTTTTATAGATCCAACAAAGTTTTGTGTGTATGTGCACAGGTATATATGTGCTGTTCTTAAATTTCCTTAATTTCTTTCATAATTTTGTTTATTGGGAGGGGTTTATTTTTGTTCACTTTTAAAGTCTAATCCTGCTCTTAAATTTATTTATTGTTTATCTATTCCCTGCAAATATTAAGATGTCAAGTAATACCAGTTTGTTAGCTGTTTGCTTTGATTAAAAATCTCAAGTTCTACCTAGATGATCGTTTCAGGAAGCTTTCGTTTTTCTTTGCTCCTTTGTCTAAATCTGAAAGATTGGCCCATAATTATTAACTGCAATTTCAGAAAGTTTTGTGAAAGCTGAGATAGCTTCCGGCTTATTTCAGAAAGTTTTGTGAAAGCTGAGATAGCTTCCGGCTTATTCCAGCCCTTGTTTTCATAGTCTTTAAGCTGTTTATTGCACAAGATAAGAAAGCTCTGTTGATGGGGTCAAAGGGAGTCTCCACAAGTTCTACTTTGTTAGAAATCATTATCGTTTAAAACAAACTCTTACTGGTCTCTTGATTCTTTTCACTCTGAGTGCTGGAACCCTACTAGGTAGATTGTCCATTTCTTCTGTCTATTCACTAGAAGTTAAGTTCCTGGGCTGAAGTATGGGTGCGGGAGGGAGGCAAAAGTCTTGAAAATGTAAACCAGGTATAGTGGCCCACACCTTTAATCTCAGTGGCTCAGGAGGCTGAGGCAGGAAGATAGCAAGTTTGAGGCTAGCCTCAGTAACTTAGCAAGGCCTAACCAATTTAGTGAGATCCCAGCTCAAAGGTTGGTGACTTAGCTCAGTGGTAAGTCACATTCCATTTGCTCCTAGGTTCAATCCCCAGCAAATTCACTTCCTCTGGATTGACACCTCAAGAAAATCTTTCTGTTTTCTAGTCTTTTCAGCAAGCAAAGCTTAGCATTCTCCTAGAATTGTGGCTGAAAGTGACTTAATGTCTCTTTTAAGATCTTCTGCAGCTCCTGGGGGACCAGGAATACTTACTACCAACCCAGAAACATCAATTGAGAAGATAAATCAACAACCCATTGGCATTCACAAATCTCTGAGAACTAATAATACCCAGATCTTTACCTTGTGGGTCTCCTTCAACAGCTTCCAGCCTCCAAACTCTCCTCCACACAAAGGAGAAAAGTTCTCTATCAACATAGTTTTTTGTTTCCCCAGAATCCATACAAATGGCCAACAGAATCCAAACTTTTACATCTTCCAGGCATGGTTGCTGCTTATCTCAGGAGAGATCTTATAGTTCAATTAGAATTGTGGAATGAGATCAAAAGAGACACATTCAAGCTCCCATCTTCCCCACTTAAATAAAATATAAAGATTTCATGTACTTTACAATTTAAAAATGTTTCTTATGGCATTTAAGTGTGAAAAAATAAATTTCTTAAGAACTGACACACTCATTTTTTTCCATAACCTTTACATTTGGAATAAAGCACATAAATTAGATGCTTGTTTAGTAGGTGAGTGAATAAATAATCAAATAAAAAAAGAAGCAAAGGGACATATTTTTAATTTTTGTTCTTCTCTGTTCCAGACTCTGTAAATACAAAAATGATCAAGTTCTCAATCTTTCTCTAACTTTTCATAACATTGACCCTTTTGAAGACTATAGGCCAGTTATTTTGCAAAATGTCTCCAGTCTGGATTTGTCTGATGTTTCCTCGTTAGATTCAGTTTATATGAATTTGCCAGAAGTGTTACAAAAAGAAATGTAATTGCTGGACCACATCCTATCAGTTGGAGCAGTTTTTGAACTTGTTGTGTTATTGATGATTGCTCACTTAGCTCACTGATTAAGGTAGCATGTTTTTTCTCTTTAAAAAGTCTTCTTTCTACCTTTGTAATTAATATTATTTTGTGGGAAGCAATGTGAAGTGTTCTATATTCCTATGCCAATGTCTTATTCCTCCTCAATCTTGAAATGTATTCATTTACTAATTTATATCACTATAGTCTCATGATTTTTATTTTAGTAAATTATATACAATACAATACAATACAAGATTGTTGTGATGAGAAAATTGTCCCAGACTTGGCCCATGCAAGCCTATTCCAGCTGGTTTCTATGTCTTTTTGACATGTACTTCACCTTGTGCTTTGCCTGCTCCAGCTCTGGCATCAGCCATTTCTTTGAGTCCTGCTTCCTTTCTACAAGGTAGATGTGCGCATTGCCTCTTTTTGGCCCTCTCTGTTGTTGTAAGAGATTGGGAATGTAAATGTGTGTTTGAATAGATAGATTTGCATCTATTATAATTTCTTCATTGACATAAATATTTCTATATACAATGAGGGTTGTTATAATACTTGTTTTGAAAATGTGAATTTGTTCCAGTACAATTGATATCTTAAGGAACATATTAATCATGTCATAAATTTCATGGTTACATATGCATGATTTCATTTGCAAGAAACACAAAGTGAACACAGAAAACTGCACCTTGCTGAACAAGACAGTCCACAAATGTGCCTATGCATGTACATGCACACAAACCTATAACCAGCTCCGTCAGTTTATCTCATGTATTAAGACCACATCCATTTTATCTGGTGCCTAACTTTCTGATTACAAGTAACCCTCCTTCTACCACTTCACAATAACTCACAAGTTGCAATCTTTCTGAAGTCCACTTCCACAAGCAAACTTTAGGTCCTTTTCAAGGTAAAGTGCGATGTTTAGAAAGTAAACACACAACTCCAGAAAGAATCTTCACTCATACTATCAAGTTGCTTTATCTTCTTTTAAGAACTTGGAATGGGACCTTATAGCCAATGCCAATTTTATGTAGTTCATGCCAGAAGAAAGATAGTAAATTTTAATCAGTAGACTCAAAGGAACACACTTCGTTTTTATGAAAGGAGGTTGGTAAATAAATGCATACATGTGTACCTTTATTCCCTAACTCCTTCTCATTGATTTTAAATAAGTTTTTCAATTAAAATGCCAGACTTTAGATGGCAGAGATTTAACAATGTTGAATTTTACCTGACCCCTTGTGAAAATAGTGAGGGGTGAAAAGAATCCACCCAACCCTGCTGTGTTCCAGAAAATGGCTTTCAGCAAAATACACCCTTCCTACATGACCTAAATTGTATTCGCAGATGCCCCCTGGCTTACCTATGATAAGGCCGACCACAGGTGTTTCAAATTCTTTCATAAATGATTAGCTGAGCTACTTATCCCCACTGGTTAATCTTAACCAAATTAGTTAATGTTCTCTCCTTGCCCTAGGCTGCTGAACTTTGGCCCACCCTCAGCCCAAGCCAGCATGAAAACTCTCCAGACAACAGACCGGTCCGGCTAAAATATTCCCTGATTTATTATCCAATTATGCCAATCTTTCATCCTACAGACCCAACTCTTTCTAATCTGTTTACTTTTCTCTATATTTCTAAGACTCAATAAATATAATTGGGATTCCAATTTATTGACCAAGTTGCCTTCTTTGTGAATAATGGTACATATTTCTCTATTTACAGATTAATGGATAATCCAAATTCTAATTATATTTTAGTTTTGAGGAACAATCTTGGGAGGGAGACACACAGATTAATAATAATAGCACATTTTATTAAAAAATTAACTATTTACATAATAAATTCTACCACAACCCACCAAAGTAGATCAAATTTGGGGAGTCAAATTGTCCTTTTGTAAAATTAGAAGTTTGGTAATCTGATTCTCTATAATGGTAGAAAACACCCTCCACCATTAACAAAGAGACAACTGATCAATGAATCCTATTATTTCCATATATTTATTTCAACCTTAATAAACATGCTAGATGAA